TAACTGCAGCACGGGAAATTTAGATAAGCTATTAGGAAAAATGTTCCAATGGTGAGGATAGCAAAGCACTGCAATAGGCTGGAGAGGTTGTAGGTTCTACCGCCGGAAGCTTAAAAGATAGGTTAAGGGAATATTTGCTGGAAGGGACAGAAGTTCTGATTTTGCTTGGGCAAGGGGACAGACTGGGTGATACTATAACAAATTTATGATGTTTGAGTTGATCTCAGGAGTTAAAAATGTCTTATCCTTATACTCCCTAATTTTTAAATGCAACATCTTATAAGGAATGTAACATTTTAGGAGAATCCACTGATTTAACTTATCTTTAAAATTTATTTAAATGGCTGTAATAGCTAATAATGCTATTCTTTACATTTGATTTTAAATAGTTTCACTCTTAAATATATACATAGTCAAAATATTGGGATTTTAATTCAAAAAGTATTCATATATATGTTTTTGCATGTTTCCATGAAAATCATGATTTAAATAATTTAAAATGGTTATTAAATAAGTATTTACTTTAATACAAATTTAGTAAAAGTAATCAAAAGTAAATAATTGAAGTAGCTTAAGTGATAAAAAGTAATTTAATTGCACTCAAAACAAAAGCCATTTTTAATACACAGTCATAGCTTTAGTTTTTTCTTTAAGTGTACTTTTCTTCAGTTTGATATTTTCAGTGATTTGGCATGTCTAGTACTTTGTTTTTGCCATAGTTAACAGAACAGCACTGTTAACATAGTTAAAGGAGACTGGTTGTGTTCTAAGTGTATTATACAAGGAGAGTTGAGTCCAAACTCACTCACTTCACTCAGTAATTGTGATCACCTTCCTCATGCTCTTAGCTTTGAGGACAGTTTGGGTCTGTCTGTAAGCTGTGTGGTTTAGAATTAACTCTGACCAGTACAGTCATTCCTACAGACCTATGGGAGAGATTTGGAAAGAAAGGAAACTGTAACTGTCAAATGACAAAGAATTGTTTGTCATCATATCTCTTTCTCCAAAGTGTTTGGAGGCAAATTTCCCTCTATCAGAGCTTTATAACATCAATCCAAAAGTTCAGAATGCCATGTTGTTGGAAGATCATTTCTCCTTAGTTTTTAGTTAGTTACGCATTGTTAGAAGATAAACCTTTCTAGGTAATAACCTTTTTTTTCTGGTTATGCTCTAAAGCCATATACTATGAATACAGATACAACATGATAATCAATGGGTGTTTCACTAGATGTTGTTTCGCAGTGTATTTCCTTCCAGATATTCTATTAATTTTTGACTGTTTTTGTTAAATAATAAAAGCAGATTCAAAGAGACTTAAATTTATTGGGCTGAAGAATCACTTAGAAAATGCTAGACTTTTTCCTCTTGATGTGTTAAAGTTGAAGCAATTAAGTGGTATGGTGCCTCTAGAAAATGAAAGTTCTTAATGCCTTGGCTCTTGTTAATCTAAGAAGTACTGATAGGTAAGCCTGGTTTATTAATAGGGAAGATAAGGTAATGATAAAGGGAAAGATCAAAAAAAAAAAAAAAAGATTTATCCACAGTAGGTTCATTCACTAAAGATTTCAAGGTGCTATCACTTTTTATTGTGATATATCAATCTTTTGTATAGCTTCAGTAAAATAGCGTTCCTTTTCCAGTTCTGTCCTTCTCTCCTATTTCTTTCAAAGCTCAGACAGAAAATTTGTTTCTCTTCTACATGTATACATTAGTTTCTAAATTAGAAGATTTAAGTTGAAAAAAATTATTTCAAAGCTTGCAATTTCCCTGTCGACTTTTGTCAGAAACTCTTCAAATAAGTTTTCTGGTACTTAAGGAGTCTGGCACTAATTATTAAAGTGTTTGTTATTGCCATATCAATAATGAGAAAATTTTCTGAAATATGTTAGTCACAAAATTATGTGTTTTCAGACAAAATTATAAATTCTCCAGTTTAGAGAAAACAATTGCCTCCCACAATTAGTTTCCTTACACTGCAAAATCATCTAAATAGGACAAAAGGAGGGCATGTTAGGATTACAGGGTTGACTTACCGGGGGTGGGGGTGCATTTGTGAATGGCTGTGCCCTCAGCAGTGACAGTAGGGATCAAATATAGTTAGAAGCAGTGCAGTTCAGTAGAAGAGTCTTCAGCTCTTACACTATCTACAGATTATTGGAAAGCCAGACAGTAAGCCTGTTGATTGCAAAGAAAAACCTGAGAATGTGCCCTGTGTCTAGCTAACACAATATGGCACCCTCAACCTTGAGTGTGGGTGCCATTGGGCATTGCTCACAAAGCCTTGTGGGTCTGGAGGCTCTTACTGACCCCATATACAACCCTCTGCTGAAATGTGGCACAAATTTGAGCAGGGCCCACTTAGCCAAACAACTGGGTGTTCATAAACTCCCAAAATACAATCTTTGGTCAAGCGGTAGTTATGCAGCTGCTGCCTTTGGGGAAGTAGAACCTATGTTACCTGCCCCTGAGCTTCTAAATAAAATTGATAGAATGCTTTGACAAACAGAAAAAATAAAGCTGTGGTGTAAGAGAAGTATGTTGTTATATATTGGGCTTGGAGCTCAGATTATCAATTCTAGAACTGATACTAATTTTTTTCATTCTGAAAAACAGACATCTTGCCTAGTCCTCATCCCATATCCAGATGCGTCTTCTAAAGATTAAAAATTGAGATCTGAACCCAATTTTCTGATCTTAGCATTGTGAAAAGTTCTTTGTTCTCAAGATGGAGTTATACCAACAAAATTTACTTCTGTAATTATTCTCTTGTCTTCTATGCCTCCCTTGACTGAAACTTTATATAGAAGAGTACCTTTGGAAGATAATTCCCCAAGCCTGTTTTCTCACACTGAAATGATAGTAGGGGAGGAAATTCAGCAAGCTGGGTGTTAGGAATGCACCACTACTAGCGTACTAAAACTAAAAACTGGTGAATTAGCCTCAGCTAGCTCTTTTTAACTGAGAGAGGCCTGATACATTATGCACAGATAAAGGATGGTTGAAGGAGGTGATCCTTCCCCTCTGCTTAGCACTGATGAAGCCAGATCTGCAGTGCTGTGTCCAGTTCTGGGCTCCCCAGTACAAGAAGGACGTGGACCTGCTGGGACTAGTCCAGAAAGGACCATGAAAGTGATTTAGGGACTGAAGCATCTCTCTTATTAGGAGAACCTGAAAGAGATGGGATTATTTAGCCTGAGGAAGAGAAGACTCACGGGGGATCTGATCAATGTATGTAAATATCTAATGACAGAGAGTAAAGAACAGAGACAGACTTAGTGATGCCCAGTGTAATGGCAAGAGGCAATGGGCATCTTGAAACTGAAATACAGGAAATTCCATTTGAACACCAAAAAAAATACTTTTTTTTACTGTAAGGGTGGTCACACACTGGAACAGGTTGCCCAGAGACTTTGTGGAGTCTCCACCATTGGAGGTATACCCAACTGGATATGGTGGTCCTGGGTGACCTGCTCCTACTTTGAGCTGGAAGGTTGGACTAGAAGATTACAGCCTCAGCTTTTCTGTGATTCTGATATAGATACTGCTGACATATCTTACTGTCAGGAGTAAAGTTTATTATGTCAAGAGTAATTATTTATTAAAATAATGAATAAAATTGTTTACAGTATTTCCTCTATGTCAGAGTATTTTGTAGACAAGATCAGACTATTTTATTGGAGGATACTCTTGAAGTGCACCCACAACAACACTGACTAAATATTATGATTACGATGAGTAGTATTCCTGGCAGATGGCCTTGCAGTCATTTCCAAACTTCTTGAAGTGATCAGAGAAATTCTGAAGCAGTGTTTTGCTCTGAGCGACTCTTTGTCTTTCTGGGCACATCAACGTTTTCTTCCTTTTCTCATTAGACCGTATTCTCAACAACCTCAAAAGGACTGTCCAAACCTGACTTTCTAGTTTCAGATTGCTGATGGAGCCAGGGCAGTATGATTTTTAGATAGTTCCTCTTCTGTTAAACTTGCAAGAGCATGCAAGAAAGAATGTAGATAGAGCCTATCTTTTACTTTGGCATTGTGTAAGTAGTTAGAGTATTATTTTCCACTGCTGTCTTCCAGTTCTGTGGTGGAGTAAGTTCAAAAATGTGTGTAGTGTTTTCTAAAAGGAATAAAGGTAGATAAATTTACTTTTTTAATACACTTTTGCACAGATTCATGTTTTGAATTTATTTTGAAAACTACCATGGATGTCAAAAGGATGAGAAGGAGAAATTTATATTCTGCTTGCATTCCTTCCCATGCCATTCCATTTTCCAGTACTCTAGTTGGAAAAATTAATTTCATTGTAGCATGAAGCACAGACAGCAGTGAGACTCTGTTTCTCCTGATTGGAGTGTTGAAGAAAAGACCACACAATGTACCACAGGGTTCTCCAAGAAACTAAGCAATTTACATATGATTATTTTGGCTTATTAAGATAAAAGAGAAAATCATTTTACCCTAGAGAAGAAGTACGCAGTAGTTCTTCATGTATTATGCTGTGTATGGTAGTTCCATTAAAAATCAACTTATTTTTTCCAAATATCAAATAAAATTTAAATTTCAGTAAACAGTACAAATCCATTTTGATTTAGTTAAAAAGGGCATTACTTAAATATGTATTGAAAGATCAGATAACACCTGAATGCAACCCAACAGATGTGGAAAGAGAAATACAACTCAAGAAGGCAGTTCTTTGATCCTAAACAGCCAAGGAAAAGGGAGTGGGGATGAAGATTATTGTCTCAGTGCATGGTTCAATGAATAAACCTTTTGCAGATTGCTAATAGCCAATAATATTATTTGGAATATGTTCTGTTTTCCATCAGATGTATTTGTTCTTAAAATCACTCAATGAACTAAGTAGTGTTACCATAAGCAGATGCTTGAAGGAGAAGAAAAAATCTATAAATCTCATTTGTTACAACAGCATCTTCATCTGTGATGTTTGTTTAGGCTTTGAGTTAACACTTTTTAATTACTTTGTTTTCTTTATTCCAGAGAGCACAATCAGATGAATTAGAAAAAATAGAAAAGCATAGCAGGGCATCCAAGGAAAAAGAAAATGCCAAGTCTTTGGATAAGCCTGAACAGTAAGAACTTACTTATGAAAGAACACTTTTGCTGCCTTCTGAAAACTTTCCATACTACAGTAAACTAACTAGAGATGTTACAAAGGCGGGGGGGGGGGAGTACTATACCTACTGACAGTAAACTAAATCCTTTTCTTTACATATTTCTGCAGGTTCCTCTATGAACTCTCACTAATTCCCAACTTTTCAGAACGAGTGTTCTGTATTCTGTTCCAATCCACGTTTTCAGAAAGCATTTGTTCAATTCGTCGCAAGCTTGAATTGTTGCAGAAACTGTGTGAGGTAGGTTGTGCTCTGTGTAAAGGTAGAGCTAAATTTCTGATATTTAATCTTGTTAAGTTATACTCATATTTCAAAAGTTTCTCTTTATTTACTTTAAGTACTCATTAAATCTGAAGGATAGCAGTTCTGCAGAATACAATGTTTTATGATTGTGCTTCAACATCAAAGCAGATTTTAAGATTGCCTTTTCATCCTGACCTATAACATCATGTTTTTGCAGTGAATGTATATCAGTCTCTGGAAAAAACTTTTTTGCAAAGTAAAATCTTCCTTATTCATAGTGACCATGTGACTTCTTTCCAGATTAATACTGTTTTACTTCACTTTGTCTTTGCTTGGATTTTGGAAGTGTCCAAATCTCCCATAACTAAAATGAATTAGAGATGGCAAATGCTATCTCTGGCTGATACAGATTCCTACAGTTTGATTGGTCCCATGCAAAATGTATGTGCCATTTTAAAGGCAAATTTCATATGTATTTGCACACCTGAGAGCTACTTTAAGTCTTGTGTTTAATTGTTATGCTATTTAATGTTTATTGATTAAATCTTTTAATTGTTCTGTGTGAGTTTTTGAGGAATATATTGCAGAATCTGTTCCTAAATTAAATATGCTGTTCATAATATCAGCATCAGTTAGGGAAGTACTATTTTCTTTTTCTTCGCCTCCCCTAATGCCGTATAATTTTGTGTGATTTGAAATTCACACTTTCCTGTTATTTTCCCTAAATATATGTTTTGGGGATAGTGTCTCCCATTCACAAGAAATCACATATTGGTATTACTATATCTCTGTGTTACATTAGAAATTTGATGTTTTCCTATTTTTTAACCTCAATATAAAAGTAATTTCTGAGCACAATATTACCCAATCTGCTCTACAAACATTGACAGTAATGTTTTTGATAGTAAATATTATTGAGAGTTTCAACAAAGTGGTTCTCTTTTGTGTTTTGTAGACACTGAAAAATGGGTCAGGTGTTATGCAGGTCCTGGGTTTGGTTCTTGCCTTTGGAAATTATATGAATGGTGGAAACAGGACACGAGGACAGGCAGATGGGTTTGGATTAGATATCCTGCCAAAACTGAAAGATGTCAAGAGCAGTGTAAGTTGATTTTAGAGTTGCTGTAAAGCTTGAAATGTTGAATTCTTTCAGGAAATTGCTTTGTCTCCATTTTTGAATAAATAGTGTAAACTCTATTATTATAAAGGTATAATAAAAGGGAAAAAATTACTGCATGTAACTGATCACACTTCTGGAGTTGGGTGCATTTGTGTAGAAATATGAAAATGAACTGTCTCTTTTCATTGCTATAAAAACAAAAATATCTTAAACTATGTCTTACTTCCTAATCTGATATGTATTTGATGTTTGGTGTACTGCATGGTTCTAACTTTTCCTTTTTTTCAGAGGCAATACTGTGATCATCACATTTAAAAAGTTTATTTCAGAAGAGGAAACAGTTGTAAAAGAAAAGTTAACAGTGTGATTCAATGCTGATTTAAAATATTTGAGAGAGGAAAAATAGTCCCTCCCTAAAATGATGGAATAGCATTTGGATAAGCCAAAATTCATCTTTTATATATATCATGACTGCAGAGTATGCATTTCTCGTTAGACCCTGGAACTGTCTGGGTAAAGAATAATCACAGCAAGTAGCTGTTAACTGAAGATTTCTCTGGTATAGTAATCTGAGTGAAGAGAATGATAAGTAGTCTTTTCTTGCGAAGTGCTAAACTGAAACTTGTGTGGTACTGGCACTTTTTGGCTTTGGCTATTCAAATTGGGGTTGTGTTCAAATCTCTGCTTTTGTTTACAGAGAAATAAGAATCTTTGTGTCTCTATGGCTATAATGAAAAGACTCATCTGAATGTGGGCAGTGGTATGAGAAAGGTTATACAAATAATTTTAAGAGTTTGAATTGGCCACTGCATCCATGTAGTGAGTCATTGTCAAGATCTGTTGTTCTGAAAGTAGTAGAAAAAGAGACTGCTTCCCTGCTTGCTCACTAAATACACAATGCTCTAGCTGCGGGGTTAGGTAACCTAAGGAGACCGTTGTTTACTCTGAGATGAGAGACCTTGTCAGCTGTTTGCCTTTAAAGGGGTGGAGAAACTTCATGCTGGCGTGCTTGTTTCTTTGGTAAGCCAAGGGAGTTATGTTGTGAATGAAGACATAGTACGATGTGTTTAGCGCAGCCTACTTCACGTTATGGTTGACTTTAGATACAGCACCAGTTTTAAATGTTCTACTGAACCAATTTCTATGCATACTGGATTTGGTTTAGTGAGTCAAGTCTTTAAGATGTAATTTGCAGGAAATATTATGCCCATTAACCTTAAAATTGCAAGACTCTTCTTCAGTTTATTTGCCCCTGATCAATCAGAAAAGTTCATATAAAATACTTTTCCATCTAAAAACATACTTCTGTCTAAACTCCTTTTCAAACCAAAGATTTTCTGCTGAAGTCTCATTACAAAAGTAAAATAGAAGAAAAGTTTCCAGCAGTGCTGAAATAAAGCACATTAATCTTTTTTTAATCTGTTTAGAAAAATAACTTTGTTTAAGTTTACTTTAGTTATAGGATGAGTGAAAATAAGATTTGAAATTTGCCAAACAAGTTGCGTAGATCAACCCAAAAATACTTCTCTTTTCCTGTGTTTCCTGTGGAAATTTTGAAAAATAAGGATTGAGTTCTAAACCAGATAAATTTCAAAAATCAGAAGGGGCTTCCACATTTATAATAACATATCTTTCTCTTACTATGTTTAATGATTAAATGATATTTTAGGTTTTTTTTTTTTTAACTGAAGACACCAACTCAGAAAAGTATTTTCAGTATTTGACTCTAAATATTGCAAATGTCAAAGATTATACTTTGAAGGGAATTATCCCTTCTGAATTTGTTTTTTTCTTGCACCAAGACATGGCTAGTCAGTCTCAATAACACGACAAACTTTATTTTCTTCTATACAGGACAACAGCAGGAGTCTTCTATCTTACATTGTCTCATACTATTTGCGTAATTTTGATGAGGTGAGAATTAATTTTCTCTTTTAAACTCAAGAACAAAAGATCAATGTATTAAATATGTTCCTCTGCTGGTCGAGATGAGGAAACGTGCACAAATGGTGTGCACAAATGCTCTTTGTGCTTTTAATTCTTTATTTTAGTATATAAAAAGGTAATGAGCACTATTTAAATATTTGTTTATGTTTTTGTCAGGATGCTGGAAAAGAGCAATGCATCTTTCCTCTTCCAGAGCCACAAGATCTCTTCCAGGCTTCTCAACTGAAGTTTGAAGATTTTCAAAAGGATCTTCGCAAAATGAAGAAAGATTTGCGAGGTACTGAATCTATATTATGTAGTAAAAACATGTTACCAACATACCTGCTTTTTCATTTGTATATATCATTTTGAGGAATTAGATGATGGTATAAAAACAGTTTTGTATAATTTGACTCCTCATTTAGGATTTTGTTTCCTTGATTTGATTATTCATGGTCATTTTAGCAAGACTTTTTTTATTTTCTGTAGATAAACTGAGGGGACATTGTTAAAATAAGCAACCTTCCCCCAGTTTATATGAGACATTTCATATCAAAACCAAAAGATAAAGGCTTTTTTGTTTTTGTTTTTTGATTGTTTGTTTTTTTTGGCTTTTTTTGCAAACTTAATTCAACAGTTCTTTCATCATAAGAAGAATGGGGAAGTCTTGAATCATTTAATGACAAAAAAGATGGTTCATTAGGTCCAAATACTATCTAAAGGATAAGAAAAAAATAATATATATGGCATCTGGTTAAAGATAGTTGAAATAACCCAACTTTGCTGAAATATAACATGCAAAGGAAGTAATATTTCTCATGCCTGTGAAACGGTATCTCTTTAAATAAACTCTACAATTTATAATAAGATAAATTTCTTAAACTTTATTAAAGAACATGTATCACATATAACACTGGGAACTAAGCACTAAGTTTAAGTTAAGTAAAGGTAGAACTTGTGCGAGAGCTGAAAATCTTCCCCAAATGCTTGCCAGTATCTCCATGATCTTCACTACCTTTGCTAATATGTACTCTTGTAGCTCTCTGCTAAACTGGCCAGGTACGCAGCATTATACTAAATCTTGCAGAGAAGGATTCAAATCAAATAATGAAATGATCTTTATGTTTCTGTTGTCTCGCTGGCTTTGGAAGTCGAACATCTAGAGACCAAGGAACGGTTTGGTAAATCATTAGTCTCTGAGCAACCTAGAATAGAAGGCTCTCTAAGCAAAACATAATATGGTAATCAAATTGTATTTGAGCCTCCTTTCTTGCTCCTATCAAACTTTCTGTTTGGATGTTTTAAAATTTATAGTAAATACATAAAGTTAATATTAAAAGTTGTGTCAAGATTACTAGTGTGATTCTGAAGAGCAGACCAAAGCAGCATCTATTTGCTGTCTGTACGATTTAGAGGGAAGAAATCCCACAGTTCACCCATAAGGATTTATTTAGTTCCTGCAGCTTTTGAATTATCAGGGGACTGACCTTGAAAACAGAAGAGAAAGATGCTTAGGTTTGATTGAGAAAAGTACTTTAATTCAGGTGCATGCTTAAGAACTTCCATGGAAGGAGAAATTTTCCCCTATAAGTTCACCAAAATGCCTTTCTGTGGACAAAAGCTGAAATATTTTTAGATTAAGGTTGAAATTTGTGCACAGATATCAATCTTTTATTGAATAAATCTACACTCTGCAGTGACCAAAGCAGAGTTTCTGCAAAAATAGAAATTACATGGTTTGCTCAGCCATGAGACTGCAGTTGAATTCTTTCTGTGCTTCCAGTTCCAGCCCTCAGGCTGGAATATCAGTGGTTATTATTCTGTTCTGTAGTGAAAGTGGACGATAACTGGAGATGCCATGACTTTTTCCCCATTCGTTTTAGTCCTGACTTGTCTGGGGATGGCATTGGCCCCCTTTGGTATCCAGTTCTGGATATGAAGTGATTCTTTCAATACAAGTCTGCAATCTCGCTGCTTGAACATCAGCTCTAGATGATGAAAAACGCTTTGTGCTGACACTGCATTTCAAAGGAAAGTGTCACTCTAAGTTCAAAGTAATTTCTGTTTAAAAAAAAATTATGGTTGCAAAATTCTGGCTATTCCAATAGCTGAATTGTCTTTGCAGTGAAAATTTAATGTTTTCGGTGAGACAAATTAAGCAAATTGAATGCTGGTCGTCTTTTTTTTTTTTTTTTTAATAAAAAACAAATTTTAACTGAGTGAATGAAACAACTTCAAAGGCAGTTTACCTCTGCATTTAGTTTAAGGGCGTTGCTAGATTTGCTAATTTACTTCTGGAACTCATGACTTATTAAAACAATTCCCTCATTAAATAACTGAGCAAGAAGGGGGCTGTAAGTTGCTGAGCAAATTCAGACAAAAACCTAAATATGATCCTCTCCTTTTGAAGTCAGTGAGAGTAAATGAGTGTTGAATATTCCCGGGAAATACCAATCATTCTCAAGTTTAAGGCCTAGAAATAGATGCCTGTGAATGCACTACAATTTCACACTGAAGTGCGTTTTTGTGGACATAAGGTGTAACCTTGGCCCTATTTTCATCAGTGATTTGAGGATTTCGCTCTGTTTTTGTTTTGGTTTATTAGTTTTTTACTTTGAATTATCAGTGAAAAACTTAAAATTCCATCTAACTTTGTACAAACAAGGCCACTAATTTAAGAAGATTTTGTCCATGTTGGCTTCAAATACACTGCAAACCATATACAGTGAGATCATACTTAATAAAAGTGGGGGAGGAAGATGTTTGCTCACCCAGGAACAAAAGCTTCTGAATATATTTTATTTCTATCTTAATGCTTTCCAAGATCAGTATGTTCAAAGATGAGCATGAACCCAAAAGGATCCTTTCATAAAATTATGAGAAAGCTTAAAAAACAGCAAAAACAATACAGAAAAAAGAAATAGAGAAGGATTTTTGTTTAAAAAAAAAAAACAAACTGTTTTGTAACCATAACAATAGCAATTCATTCAGGCAATGCTGTTTTTTTGTCTAAATATGTCAGTAGCATATGCAGAGACATGCAGATATAAATCATCTTTATGGTTCTATAAAATAATAGTGATGGTGTTTTATGGCTCAAAGCTTGGACTCATGTTTGTTTTAAAGGAGTAGTTGTGTTGATTTCCTTAAAAAGAAAAAGCACTTGATATTATAACTTTTACACTTTTTTCCCTTGTAAGTGTAGAGGATTTTGTCCATTTTTAAGTTTTATAAACTGTGTGCCTTGCAGTTTGTAAATGACAGAAAACAAAGCCTCTTCCCAGATTTCAGATTAAAAGCTTAAGTCCAAAAGACTTTCAGAGAGGAAGTTGTGTGCCTGTTCCATGACGAATCAGGCAGAAATTTAATTTATGATTTTTTTTTTAATTAAAGAAGAAAATCCACCTCCCCTAAGATTATAATGGAAATTGCAATAAACAAACTTGCAAATTCCATGCCAAACTTACAGATTATTCAGTTTTGTTTTTGTTTTTTAAAATAATATGCTCCTAGGGGATATTAGTATATATGCAAGTTATTTTAAGAAATAAGCTTTATCTCTTCTTTAGTCTTTTCTTATTAACAAACCAAGTGAGTTTGGCTCCATCTGTTGCCCCAGATTTCACAGCTCTCCAGGACTCTCAGTTTAGCCTTTTTGACTTTAGTGACATATAGTTTGTTAAGCAACTTGATCTGCTTTTGATCTCTCCTGGCTGTCAGCAACCTTCCTTGATGCAATCATGCCAAGTGATGACTTCTGTCCTTATGTCATTCCACAGAAGAAACCTTAGCACTTGCCACATGACTTAAATCAACTCACCATGTAAAGAAAACTGGACATCCAGGGTCACAAGAGTGATGCATGGCTCATAGTGATTAGGTCCTGTGTTGCGTATTTATTATTATCAGTATATGGTTCTAGACTTAGAAAGGTGGTTTCATTTCTATTATTTTATAATTAAAATAAGTAGGATTTTCACTGTTCTGTAAAGCACTTGGGTCATTCAGAGATTTTTACAAATAGAAAAAAGAGGCATTTGTTCCATTTATCTGTCAAGCCTGTGCAACAGTATCCAGCAGACTCTTTACGCAGTGACACGAAAATATGTTTTGAATCAGTTAATGTTTTAATCCTCTTAATGCTCTGACACTCCCTGGAGGTACAATTGTGGTTTAGGAAAATACTGGATTTGTGGCCCATTAAATTCTTCAGGACTTGTATTTAGTTTGGGAGAGAGGGAGGACGCTAAAATGGCAGTGAGAGTTAGAGTATTTATGAAGCACTTATGGCAAGTTAAACTGTTTGGAACTATTCTTTGGCTACACATTAACATTTTAGCTTTACAATAGTAAGTTTATCCTTGCAAATCAGATTAAAGACTAATTCATCAGTTGTCATTTATTGCAAATCTTTCACTGAAGCTCAGTTAAAATGGAATGGAAACAATGTTAGGCAGAAAATGAATCTGGTAAAATTTTGAAAGGATGAATAATACCATATAGCGCAGGCTGATCATGAATCAAGGATAAGTCAGTGCTTGCATGTGTGTCATAGTGTTGTCATACTTTTTTTGTCTTTGGTTGACAACTAATTACAAGAAATAATTATGATAAGTAAAAAATTATTTTTATAAAGACTTTTTTTCTACTGTGAGTGCTAACAACTCATTGAAAAGTCTGTATTGATCAGAGGCTAGGCTGTATGGCCCAGAGATCTCTCTAATTTGGAAGAGATGTAATTGAAATAGTTTATAAAATGTTAAGCATGTGCAGAACACTTTTTATTTGGAAAAGTATGTTCCAAGAAAAAAAAAAACTCACAATAACTTGTAAAAATACCTCTATTTTCCTGAATCTATCTATGCTTCTTACTATCACCTAAAATTACCTCTTCAGCTTGGTTCTTCTACTTGTAGAGCTGGTATGTGCTCTCAGGTTAAATACCTGCTGTTTAAATCAGAGCATTGGAAGCACAGTATTAAAGTTGAATTTGGGGTCCTGTCAATATGGGACTAGGGATAGTAGGTATAGTAGACAGAGAGGGAATAGTAGGATGGTCCCTTTCCTTTTCTTATTCACATGGGTAACTATTAACTATTTAAATTCTATCAAAAAATATTCCTCTTGCCTCAGTAAAGGCTACCACTAAAAGCTGGGAAGAGGCATCAGCCCTAAAAGTATAGTCTAGCTGTAGTTTTAGCGGGAGATTCACCCTCTCCAATGCCCTATTCTTATGTCTGGGGGCTATGGATTACTTTGCAAAAGGATATTACATCCACCATTAGTCCTTTCATTGGG